CCGGGCGGGGACGCCCTGCAGGGCAGCACGGCGGGGGCGGCGCGGGGCAGATCCGCACGTCCCTCCCTCCCGCCCGCCGTCCCTCCCGCGCGGGCGCTCCCGGCCGGTCGCGGCTCACCGAAGGTGCGGCGCTGCTTGAAGGGCCGGTCCGAGGGCATCGCGGCGGGACCGGGGCGGCACCGGGACCGGGCGGCTCCGTCTGCGCTGGGGCTGCGGCGGAGCGGCGCTGACGTCATCGGCCCCGCCCATGGGGGCGGGGCTCTGCCGGCAGGGCCCCGCCCACCGCCGCGACCCCGGGGCTCGGCCGTGAGGGGCCGCCATGGCCCGAGGGCCGCTCCGGGACACAGCCGCGCTGGGGCTGGAAGGGGCACTGCGCCAGCCCGTGCCACCCCCTGCCATGGCAGGGACACCTTCCCCTGTCCCAGAGTGCTCCCAGCCGTGTCCCGCCCAGCCTTGGACACTTAAAGGATGGGACAGCCGCAGCTTTGCTTGGCACCCTGTGCCAAGCCTCACCACCCTCACAGGGAAGAATTCCTTCCCAACATTCAATCGAAATCTCACCTCTTTTAGTCTAATTCCCTCTTGTCCTGTTGCTATCTGCCCCTCTCTTTTTTATAAGCCCCAACAGCTGGTGCCACGAGCCCGGCTGTGCCACAGGAACACCGTGGCAGAGCATCCCCATTTCCAATGGGACATAAGGTTTATCCAGAGGTGACCCCGAACACGAGCGTTTTTTCCAGTTCTGATGGAGCAGAGTACCTGAGGGCCGTGCTTAAGGCAGCAGAAGTACACCCGGGCTGGGATTCCAGGAGGTGCTCAAAGCACAGAGGTGTCCGTGACTCTGGCCTGCCGTGGCAGCCTCTGCACATCTTGACTCAAACATCTTCCAAGGGTCACCGCCAGCTCTGGGCAGCAAACGTGGCTGTTGTGAGCAGGGCGGAGGAGAAGGAAGGATTGTGTGGGGATGAAGCCACAACAGCTCAGACACAGATTCCAGCCAACAAACCTGGACATGAACTACTCTCTCACAGATGCTCTGACATTTGCCATCCCACATCTACCCCGGTCATCTCCCCACTAATGAGCCCGTTGTTTTCCCTGCTGCATTCACAGCTATGTGAATATATTAAAGCCTGCAGCATGACTGCAAATAGGGCAGCTATTTCTGGAGCTGGTAAATGAATCAAAAACAACTGCAAACAGAGCGTCAGTGTTTCACCAGGTCTAATCTCCCTCCTCACTGCACGCCACAACAGGAGCTGTATCGTGCAGAGCAGTGTCTCATTGTTACAGTGAACTGGCACAAAACAGGAATGAACACAAAATGTTAAAGGATTAAGTACAACCTTGGTAAAAAAAATACATTAGAGATGTGGTTTTGAAAGAACTGCTCTGATTATTGTGTCACCAATTTAAACAAATATATATTTAATGAGAATTGAAGGAATTCTTGTTTCGTTATTGAGTTTACCCAAGAAAGAAAACACTTTCATGGCCAATATAATATATAAAATATATATTTTTCTTGACCAAGCAGTAGTTAAACAAGCACATACTGGTAAGGAAGTATAAACTCTTCAGATTCACTTTCATAATTAAGACACAAGTAGAAATATTAATCTCTGATATAGGTCCTGTTTATCAGAAAATACTGAAGGGAAAGCAGTATTGTTGAATCAGACATGGCAAGTGATGACCCTTACAGACTTCATCCTCAGCAATGGGACTTGTTACTATTGCTATAAAGTGTGAACCTCTTTTCAATGAGAGGAATGTGAAAATCCTTCCAATTTAGTGATGTGGCCCCTGGTTTTATCCATGCAGACCTCCTTGCAGGACTGGGGCCATAATTCCACAGAATATTATTCAGACACCTGGAAAGGGAGAAAAAACTCCATTTCATAGGAGCTCTGGAGCTTCTCAGCATGTTAGTGTACTTCCAGAAATGGGATGTGGATCAAATAAGTTTGATTTAATTTATTCTTTCTTCAGCCCTCAGCTTCCCGAACCATTCTGCAGACATAAATGCCTCTCTTGCCTGGTCTTACTGATGTCACTGGCAAAAGTAACTCCTCATTTAAGGAGGTGCATTTCAGATCCAACCCCCCTCTCCCCTGATCAGTCAAAGGTTTAAGGCACCAGCGAGGTGTCCTAACATGACCTGGAATCAGCAAGGAGCTTCCCACATGTCAGCTTTCCACAGTGCAGCACCACTGACAATGAGCACTCCTGGATCTTGTGAAACCACGGCAGTGAGGGAAATCTCCTGGAAGGAATTCTGTAATCCTGGTAAAGAAGCGTATTTCTGCCAACAGAACTGCGTTGATGCTCAGGCTCCTGCTGACCAGGGCAGTGTCCGAGCTCCTGCCCCTGCAGTCCCAGCTGCTTCTGCTTCTCCTGCAGCTGGGTCCCAGGAGCTGCTCTGCTCACTTCAGCCCAGCCTCTCTTGGTGTGAGATCTTTGCCTTTGTCCCCTAGAGAAGTAGCTAAAACAAGATCAAACATAAATCACAGACTGGTTTGGCTTGGAAGGGACGTTAAATCAGTTTGGGAAGGATGTTGAGACACTTGAGTGCATCCAGAGGAGGCAACGAGGCTGGAGAGGGGCTGGGAACACAAACCCTGTGAGGAACCCCTGAGGGAGCTGGGGGTGCTCAGCCTGGAGAAAAGGAGACTCAGGGGTGCCCTCATCACTCTGCACAGCTCCTGAAAGGTGCCTGTGCTCAGCTGGGGCTGGGCTCTGTCTGCAGCAGCACTGACACACCCAGAGCACACAGCCTCAAGCTGCACCAAGGGAAATTCAGATTGGATATTAGGAAAAAGTTTTTTACAGAAAGAGTCATGAAGTTCTGGAATGGCTTCCCTGGGAGGTGGTGGAGTCACCATCCCTGGATGTGTTTAACAAAGCCTGGATGTGGCACTGGGTGCCAGGGTTTAGTTGAGGTGTTAGGGCATGAGTTGGACTTGATGATCTTGAAGGTCTCTTCCAACCTAGTCATTCTGTGAAGACTGTAAATCTCATCCAGTCCCACCCCTGTCCACACTTTCCACCATCCCAGGTTGCTCCAAGTCCTGTCCAACCTGGCCTTGGACACTTCCAGGGATGGGGCAGCCACAGCTTCTCCGCGTCCGGTATGTGAAGGACGCTGTCATCAGCCACCTTAGGCAGGGGAGGAGTTACCTGGGAGGGCTCTGGAGCCAACACAAATCCACAGGAGGTGACTACGAGCTCAGCTTGTACAGTGTTACCTCCACTCCTGTGTCAGAGCCTTGTCTCAGCAGAGGCAGCACATCCTTGGGTCTCAAGTGCTGCCCTTCCCAGCCCAGAGCCATGCCCCAAACTCCCTTTCATTACCTTGTTAATCCATCAGGGTTTGTTTTCCCAGTAGCAGACGTTTCCTCAGCCTTTGACAGGGATCCACCAAAAACAAAACTGACTTTTCCAAGACAGCAAACCAGGCCAGTCTCCAGCTCCAGCACAGAGCAGCTCCAAGGTGCAGGTGGCACAGGCTGCTCAGGCCTCCTGTGATCCTGGCTACAAAAAAGGACTGGAACCATAATGCTAATTGTTCTACTCTTCCTCAGTTTGGCAGTAGCTTCACCATACAAATAACCAGGCTCAGACTCCCGAAGCACAGGACCAGAAACTGAGCTCCATCCACTCTTTTTTTTGACCCTGTTTATGATAAAGTAGGAAAGTGAAACCCTCCCCTTTCATACATGGAAATTGCTGCCAGCTCTGTGACCCTCTAATGCTCCTGATCCAAAAAAACTTTAGTTTAGTTTATTAGTTTAGTTACTATTTAGTTTAGTTACTTTGTTCCATAGTAACTAAATGGAAATTGTTCTTCAGCTTCCTTCACCTCTTGCCAGTTTTAAAAATAAATCTGAATTAATATTGGGTGCTGGTTTAAAGGTGGCAGTACATGGCCTAAGTAAGGCCTTGCCAAGATAGATCTGACAAACTTCTTGACTCCAAACCCAGCTTAAGAACTGGGTTTCGTTCAAATTCCCAAGTATATTTAATGCCAGGCTGCTCTCAATCCTTGAGAAAAAACACCCCAAACCAACCCCCAACCAACCAGCACACAGCAGGAGCTGTCATTTCACTGCAAGTTTATGATCTCAAAACAACAGAAAATGGCCATGATCTTTTGTTTTGCAATAGGTTATTTATTACAGCTTGTTTTGAGTAAAACTAACACTCAGCACTCTCTGTCCCAAGGTACTGTGACACAAAGCTACTGGTAGGACAGCTGTCCTTAAGGAAGTGTCCAAAAGAATGCAGGACACAGCAGATTTTCCAAATGTTCAGAGAAGTAGCACTGCCACCTACTTGGGAAAGCCAAAATCCATAAGCAGGTCACCATCTCCAAGGAAATATTTCTCTGGGTTACAAACAATAGAGAGAGATCCCTGAAGTCACTTTTTTTTCTTCCTTGCCTCACTGTTCAGTTATTGCCCAGACTCCAGCTTGCTGGAGGTAATTTTTTTGGGAGGCAGCATTCAGCTATTGCAGATCACAAGCTTTATGTAAACTGCTGTGTATCAGGAGCTGCTCCCAAGGCCAGGCAGGATTCTAGGTCCTATTCCCTGTTTTGATGGAATGGCTTAAACCAGGCCTAGCGTAAAGGGAGAAGCAGCTCATGAACAGCAACAACCAACACTGAGTCACAGGGGCAGCTGGGACACTGATGATCCAGGGCTACAGACCCCAACAGGCATTTCTGACCTTCAGGGTCATGGCCACCACCTAGAAGATTAGACACAGTCCCAAAATGCATGAATGGGTCTGAAAATGCACAGAGAAAACCCTGAACATGCAGGTTACCCTGCCTGAGTCCTCACACATCCTCAAAGCCACAAGTGCCCAAGTCAACGCCAACATTTTTACAAAAATCTCCACAGCAGCACTCCCCAGCCCTGCTTTTTTTTTTTTTTTTTTTCCCCTTGTTCTTTTTTTCCTGAAGAAAAAGTCCACCAAAATAACCCCTTGAGCATTTTGGAGTAATCATGTAGGTTTTTGGGGTTTTTTTGTCTTTATTGGCATCAATTAAAAAGTACTAAAGGAAAACAGCAGATCAAACTGGCTGCTGAGCTGTGACAGTGTGAGACCTCCCATGGGTGGGCTCAATGGCCTTCCTTGGCCATGAAAATTCTGTCTGGAGCAGAGAGAAAGTGGCAGGAAAACACTACAACACAAGAGCCAATTGTGAGTGCATTCCACATGCCCTTGGGCCAAATCCTTGTTGAGAGAAAGCAACAGACCAACAAAAACAGTCCTAGGAAGGTTCTGTTTTTTGAAGAAAATCAATCACGAGAAAACTTAAAATCCTCAGAAGAAAAACACATAAGACAAAACCAGTTACTGGTGACACTTTTTAATTTCTTCTGGTCAGACTTTTTTGAAGTAAAACCAACAGAGTAAGACAGAACTAGAGGTCAGGCAGTCATATTTACAGCCATTCAAAACTAAGTGTGTAAAGGCAGAGCTCAGTGGTGAAAGAAGCACAGAAGCATACAAGGAATAGTATTTTTGCGTTATTATTAGAATTTTATTATATTATCTTAGCCATTAAAAGAAACTGTTGCATTTTATACTGCCCAATTCCAACTCACCAGCTCCCACTCAAAACGACTTGTGATACAAAAAGCGACATTTTTTCTGTTTGTAGACAACAAAACCACCTGCTTTAATTTTCCCAAACCTTACTGAAGAGTCACAGCACAGTTAACACTAATGCTCTATCCTTTACCATTAAATAAAAAATAAAACAGGGAAAATAAAACAGGCAAAGGGAAAAAACCAGACTGAGTCAGTGTAATCATTCAGTTGGATTCTGGATCACAATCAGGAAATAGTCTTTATCTGGAGAGGAAAAAAAAAAAGAAAATTATTCTTTCACTGCTGGTATTTGTTCACAGAAATAGTAAGTTTCAACATTTTTCACATCTCTCTGGTGTGCTGTGGGAACTCCAGAGCCTGCCATTCATTCTCAATGAGCAAAACATGCTCCCAAGTGTCAGGTCATTTATTTTATGGGTTTTACTGAGAAAAACTTTCCGCTTTAGAAACTGCACATTCCCAAGGTAGCTGAATTTAACCCAGTTTGTGCCAGGAAACTACAGTAAGTGGCATGTGCCACAGTGGTGCAAGGTGGTCCCTGCCCTTCTCTCACAGGCACACGGGGGGCTGCAGCTGTTTTTTCTGGAGCAATGCTTATTCCTCTTTCCATCCTTCCTGTGGAAATCTGAGGCTGCCTCAGCATGAACCAGAGCCTGTGTTAAGATCTGCCCTAACCATGCCTGCCATGGGGAACTGCCATCCTCTGCTTGGCCTCTCCACCAGCCCATCCCAGCAGGGAGCACGCAGGGACAAGGCTGAATTCCTGCCACATGAGAGACCTGCACTCATCTTGCCAGTTTGGAATTTAACAAAATACTGAGAATGTTTTCTGAAAAGAAAGTTGCTGCTGCTGTATACCATGATTCATGATTACAGCTACATTAGTGTGCTCTAATACATTTACCAGAACTGGAAAGTCAGGACTGTCTTGTTTTATCACTCAGTCCACACTTCTGAGTGCAAATTGCTCCCAGAATGTATTTCTTTCCAAATCCTAGGGTTTTATACTGAAAAACGAAGCATGTGAGGGTGCAGCACCCTCTCAAGCATTATCTAATACTTGGTACTTTGATCTACACAAAATGAGGGAAGGGATTTGCCACATTCAAACACGACAAAGGAAACTTAGGTCAATGATAAAAGCTTTCAACTCTCCAGAAAGTAGAACAGCTTCTTGGAGAGAAGGAAGAATCCAATGTGAACACAAGCAGCAGGCAGACTCCTTCCAGGCTGACAGTGTCAGTCTCAAGTCAAAACCATCCTACTGGATTCCCAGAGTCCTGCTTTCGCCCTGCTCTCTCCTACCTGGAGCCACCATGATTTCGTTTTTCTTGGAGCGGATCCGCAGGAACGTGAGGTCGTTCTGGGGATCGATGTCCCGCACGGTGCTCCTGGCCTTCATGATGAAGCTGTGCATGAGGCCGGCGTACTGAATGGTGGTGGAGTTGTCTATGGTGCTCTTGATGGGAATACCTGCAGGAGAGGGACAGCAAGGCTCAGTGCCAAACCTCCAGAACCCACCCTGCACTGGGCATCGCCAGGTCCAACCAAGGCAAGGCACGGCCACTGCACCAGGGGTCAGGAGTGTTCCAGAAACTAAGCTACATCCACTCTTTTTTTTGACCCTGTTTATGATAAAGTAGGAAAGTGAAACCCTCCCCTTTCATACATGGAAATTGCTGCCAGCTCTGTGACCCTCTAATGCTCCTGATCCAAAAAAACTTTAGTTTATTAATTTAGTTATTATTTAGTTTAGTTACTTTCTTCCATAGTAACTAGAAGGCAAGAGGAAAACATGATGAAAAACAAGATATGAAAAAGCTGAGATGTGGGACCACAGGTGTACGTGAGAACTGTTTACCTCTAGTAGCACCAGTGCTTTACTTTTTGAGAGTTAGAAATAGAAATAAATTAAACAAAAATAATCATCTTTAAAGAAGAGAAGAAATACCAATGTTGGCAATTTTTTCTCCTGACTGGGGAAACTTTTTTTACTACAGAAAGGATCCCCAACAGCAGTTAAATGATATTGAGCTACACCAGGCTGGGATCAGTGATTATGGAGGACATCAGCTGCTGCATCACACAGCTCCAAGGCTGAAGCTCCAACGTTCAGCCCTAAGAGGAGGTGCAGTCCTGGGAGGTCCCTGGTTCAGTGATAACCAGCCTGGAGGGCAGACACACTGTTCAGCCAGAGCTTTACAGAGCTCCCTTACACTCTAGCCACCCATTAGATGGGTCTTCCCACCAAAAGCCAGAGCCAGTCAAACCCCAGCTCCTGGGTCAGAACACAGCACCCAGGTACCAAATTCTGCAGGGCAGAGCCAGGTGTCTGTTCCAGTAACTGCAGCTGCAGCACAGAGAGCACAAACCACTCAACCATCATAGAAAAGCAGTGAGCAGGAGCCAAGCTGCATGATCTGATCCTCTGTATATTCACATGTAGCTGCTGTCATCTTTTCTAAGGATTACTTCTAGGAAATATTCAATTTTTGGGCTGCTCACAGTGTATTGAGAGTGTGCTGAAGAAGTTGGCCTGTTGAACTCCAGACTCCACAAAGACACGACTTGCTGATGAGTTCCATGAGACCACAAGCACTAGACAGTGCTACAGAACTGGAGTCTGCCAGGCCAGCAGTGCTCTGGACAGGCCCAACAGCAAAATTTCCATCTTGTGAGAGCCTCAGTGCTACTGAAGAAAGTTTTCACACACCCAGTTTCAAACACTGCCATAACTCAAGTATTTCAACGCTGTTGCAAATTATTTTAATTTATTTCCTAAAATAATAATAATGTGAGCTCCCAAAAATTGGAAACCAATTTCTTTTCTAGCCTGACTACTGTCTGTCTCCTTGGGCTGCAGGAAAACCTCTCCCAAAGCCAAAGTGTAAGCTAAGTGCAAGTGGTACAAGCAGCAGCCCTCAAAGTGGGTGGCTGGAGTAAGTGATGGGTCAGAAAATTGAGGCTGACACAGCACCTTCCGAATTAACCACGATGATTCCCTGCACTCCCTTCTGGCTCTGGATTCGCTTCAGTGTTTCCTCCACCTCAGCCTGCAAGACAAAGCACAAAGCAATACAGGGTTACAGGGTTACAGCTGCTCCTTGCCTCCCACCAAAGCTTTGGGATAGCAGGGCTGAACACGAAGCTGCACAGGAATGATTAAAAAGCCACTGCCTGTACTGGTTTATACAGCCCAGTGTCTGTACTTTGGTGCCACCTTTTCTGCATGACCTTTCCAGTTATTTTCCATCTGCCTGTTTTCTTCACTCATTTGTGATTATCATCCTGGAACTCCCCTCCCTCCTCCTCCCCAAGCCTCCTGCTAAAGGCTTGCAGCTGCAAGCTGCAGTCAGACTGCTACAATTTAGGTGTCAAACAAAAATCATCTTTGAAAATGGACATGGAATTTATGAAAAAAGTAGGAAAAAGATACAAGGTGGG